GAACCTTTAAACTGTGAGTACATGTACATGTAATTGTATCTGTATGTGCATTTACATACATGTTCATTTTATTTATTATTTTATTATTTTATTAGCGCCTTTATCTGATTCAAAGGAGCTTAATTTCACAGCCGGTTAGTTTCTTCTAATTCTAATACCCGCTATCTCTCTCTCTCTCTCTCTCTCTCTCTCTCTCTCTCTCTCTCTCTCTCTCTCTCTCTCTCTCTCTCTCTCCTTAGGCTGATATGACATTTGTTGGTGTTGTTGGTATGTTGGATCCTCCAAGAACTGAAGTGAAGGCGGCCATTGAGGAGTGTAATGCAGCTGGTATAAGAGTCATTGTTATCACTGGGGACAACAAAGCAACCGCCGAAGCTATCTGTAGGAGGATCGGAGTGTTTGGACCAGAAGAGAGATGCGACGGTTAGTAGGATATACTGAGATATACTAGAATATACTGAGACTCACATGTGTGAAATTTTGAGGGTTTGATTTTAAGCATTTTAGAAAAAATAATGAATTTAATTTGCATGTACATAATTACATTTAACCCTTAAAGAATATACGCACAATAAAGTCCAAATAATGATAATATAAATGGTACATGTGTATGTATGTTTTATTGAAGATTCTTACATCATAATTTTTTATTTTTATTATTGAAGGCATGTCTTTCTCTGGCCGTGAGTTTGATGGTCTAACTGAAGGGGAACAGAGAGAGGCCTGTAGGACTGCCAGGTAACCCTAACTACTCACACCAGCTGGTGTTTGTTATTGAATCATGTTTCCTTGTTCTTCTTTGATCTCCTGGCACCACATGTTAAACATGCACGAAATATATTATAATTAATTACTGTATATCTTATCTTTTTTTGCACACACACATTTTACACCCAATTGTACTTACATTTTTATATACAAAACATCCACGTAGATTTTCACATGCTACTGTACATTATTATTATTATTATTATTATTATTATTTTATTTTTTATTTTTTTTCAATGATTTTAGGTTGTTTTCTCGTGTTGAGCCAGCACACAAGAGCAAGATTGTCTCATACCTTCAAGACGATGGAGCTGTCTCTGCAATGGTAGATAATACTCTTGATATTTCCTTTTATAATCTAACTTTCTCTCTCTCTCTCTCTCTTCCTATAGACTGGTGATGGTGTCAATGATGCTCCTGCTCTTAGAAAAGCTGAAATAGGTGTGGCCATGGGATCTGGTACTGCTGTAGCTAAGAGTGCTTCAGGTACATGGCCCTTCATTATCTTGTACTCTCATCTTCTTGTTCATTTTT